TAAATTGAGCAAGATCTAACACGAAATAAATATTAGCAGACCTGCGAGCTTACCATTCTATCATACCATCATTCATACAGTTACTTTATTAAGCTTAATGATCTAATCTATGTTACATGATGAAGCTAACTTTAAATTACTACTGTAGTTGCTGGAATCGATACAGTTATGTACTAGTACATTAATTTAGAATCATTGTATATAGGAGACACGGATTTACAACATTTTAACAGGCTATATTGCTAACTAAAACCATAACATTTGATACTTTCTAAATATTTCTAGAAATTTAGTCCTATTCGAAATTCATAATTAGCTTGAATATAGATATTAATCTCAAATAATGGCAGAAAAAGCTTAATCACGTTTCATTTTCATTTCATGCTTTTTACTTTTTAATTGGAATGTATGCTATCGATATTCCGTGGCTATAAAAGCCTCTTTTTCATTTTAATAAAGCGATCTTCTTAGTTCTAAATTTTATATATTTTACTAAGAGCCTAATTCCAGTCGAAGCAGTACGAATCTACGTACTTCTACCGTATTTAATTTATTAATATATAACGCCATTTTTACTAGCGTGTGATATATACCAATCACGAAATTACAAATTTTAGAAAAATAAGGGCTTTATTGAATCTTATACAAAGATTAACTACACACAGTTCTACTCTAGCCGAATACTACTACTAAAGACTTCTACAACGAACTAACAGAATAATCTATAGTTTCATGCTTTTATACTTTCCGTAGCATTCGCAGCTACAATCCGCATGGCAATCTTTTACCTTATATTACACATAGTTAAATTATTCTTAGTAAGACTAATCTACTGCGGACCATCACTAATCCAATATGGATACGACTACTGTACTTACGTAGACATCATTCACACCAGCCAAAGTACAATGAATTAACCATATCCTAATATATGATTTACAGTTCTATTTTTACCTATAGGCTTATTAGTAACTCAACAGCTTACTGTATATAGTCATTTGTACTCTAGCATAGAGTCTCTACCACTACAGTCTATAGTTACAGCTACCAAATATCTCTTAGGATAAATATCTACCGTACATTATACTACACACGGCTAACAGTCTACAATCACAATACTAAGTTACATTACATAGCGATAACTTTTAGTTACTGCAGAAGCGTATAAAAGGCCGGCATATTTTATAATAATAAAGTTAATTCTTAAATTTAGCGTTTAACTCGAAGCCAACCGAGTTAAATCGCTGATAATATTAAGAAGTATACTCAAGTGTTCCAAAGTGTTTTTAGATAGATTTGTAATGTCCTGATACGTGATTCGGGAAGAAGATTCGTATATTTGACTTTCTAGTTATTTTACTATCGATCTTGTTTGTGGCAGACAATTCATGAGCTTTTACTTTTTGAAAGTTAAAATATATTTAAAGCGACAATTTTAACACTTAATATGATCTCTGTTCAGATGAATACTACTGTCTTATTATTTATCTTTGATCCAGGTGCTCTTAGTAATTAAACAGAAGTATCTTTGTTCCGGTACACCGCACTCAATACTGGTCCATTAAATACGAAAATTAATTAATCTGCCGAAATGTAATCTAATACCAGCGAATTTATTTGTTGATTCGGATAAGCAAATTACAATAAGTTTTAGGGTGATTAGTCCAATCATAAAATGTTATTTATTACCCGTGGAATATCGAATTGTATTAATAGTATCTCACAAACATTTTATCTAATTTAGTCTATTTCCTACAAAATTATTGTCTTAGACAGATAAAATTTAAAAGAAAAAGCTTTTATTACAGACTTAAGAATAGTAAAGCAATAATAGAATAGAATAAGTATCGAATCTAATGTACCTTGAGCTCCAAAGAAGTCTAGTCTATCGCAAGCTCAGCTTAGTAGTTCTGAAATACTTTCTTTCAATCTGTTTAAGGTAACAAATTTGCCTACAATGAGATTTGAGTCACCAAACACAAGACTCATTTCTTAAGTAGATCGTCAGCATGTTTTATAGTACGAATTTATGTACTTAAATTATTCTTATTCTTCTATAAGTGTCCAACACTATAAGGTGCTAGGTATCTCCACAATTAGAGTACATAAAGTCATATATAATCTTGTACCATACTTAACAAACTGGCGAATGTAAGTGCTGTAAGCAACAATTCCCAATATAGTAATTAGCCATCATCTAACATCAGTGTCGCGATAACATCTATAACTAGAAGCCTAAATATATCGAACGTAGCTATCGACATAATCAATATACGCTGTATATGGCTATGCAAAAGCTATTAATACGATAATTATCAGCATTATTCTCACAATGATCACCATTACTAAAAGCCTCAATACATCAAACGTAGCTATCGACACAATCAAATATGGTGTATATCGCTATATCAAAACTATCAATTCGATAATTATCAGCATTATTCAACTTCAATTTTATTGAATTTTATCGTCATTCTTGATGAGACTGCGCTAATTACTATAAATTAAAATTACTCTTATAATTTTCAGGCTAATAAAATACCGTATCTTCTACCTAATTGCCATATTTAGATAGAGATAGATCTTGACATATCTAAACTTATGGACTTAAGCATCCTATAAGCTGAATTGACCGTGGTCTGATACACCAATATAATCTGTTATCTTTAATCAAATCTCTGGATGGCTAAGTAAACCTGCACGTCAAAACCAGAAGGCTAGTACTGTTGTATCGCAATTTAGTATGTAAGATCAGTCGAAGTAATCTTAAATCACGAGGTATAGCGTTATTACTGTATTATTTAAGTAACTAGGTAAAAATAATGATTAATGACTATTTATTCTTAGAATATACGTGCTCGCAAAGTCGTTACAGTAGGATTAATACCGATCTGATTCGATTAAATTTCAATTGCTATCTTGTCATTTGTCGCAATTTAACCGAGTTAAATTTGGTATCAATTATTATAAAATTTATTTTAAACTAAAAGTTCAAGCTGTATAAGTGCATTCTCAAGAGATCCAGGTTTAAGCTAATCAGATTAAAAGTGGGGTAGAAGAAATTTTCTAATCTAGACTATTACCCTGTAATTTGTACATTTTCTCGTATTATGAATTAATCATACCTGCTAGTAGTTATGAAAAATTAATGAGCTGCAGTATCTATTATTTACTTGTTTTACTTGTCAGAAGCTTTTTCTATAACAAAGAAATTCTGTTCGAAACTATTATATATTTTAAGAACTTATATAGTAATTAATTTCTTTACTAGAATAAATGAGACTGCTCCTAGAAAATAAGTTTTGTAATTTAGCTGGTACATAGTTAAATAGGATTTTCTGGCGCTAAAGTTTTGAAGCCACGTAAACCATTAATTACAGTTTAGATTGTCAGCTAGAATTTTAATGTAACACTTCGAGGCTTTAATAAAATGAATGCAATCAAGCTTTAAGTTCGTTCAGATTTCAACTGCTAGAATACGCGTAGAAATTGCTAAAATAAAGTATCTGTATATAGGCTTGTAATGCCGTTTAAATTTTAAGATTCCTTTTGTATTAACTAGCTAAGTAATAATCTAGTTATGAGTTCTAAGTACTATAATTCTAACTAATTGATCAAATACGAGTGAAGTGAAGTAGGACAGATCGTGCTAGGACGTATATCGCAAGCAAGAATTATTTAACGAGAACTGTTAAACTTGAATCCGTTAGGTCACTTATATTAAAATTCGATGTTATAGCCATTCATCATTATTGTTGGCATACTAATGGCTAGTTGATGCCATCTAGTAGTTCAAGACTGAAAGTGATGATTCCAATTTGCTCAAAAGCATTGTTAAATTTTTGTATTTTAATAATAATAGTGTGATATCATTCATATAATAGTTATGCCCTTAGATGTTTTACATTTGTATCAATAAAAAGACGAATTCATGTCGTATAAGTAGCAACAACTATAATATAATGTTGACGTGCTTATTATTTTGCTAGATTAATAGGTGAACTATGTTCATGAGTATAACTTAAATAATTACAGAAATTATTCTTTAATTGAACCTCAAAAGAATGAATTTGAACATCTTTTATTGCTTTAGAGAATACTATATAAGCTCTGACGATATTTACGGTATTTAACGTATACTTCAGGCATTTTTACAGGTAAAGATTAATAAGAAATTTCATACCCAATTACTTTATATAAAATATCGTAGTAATATCGCATCGTTTAGTCCCCCAGAAATTTTATGATTAGTATACGCTACTAAACCCATTCTCACTATCTATTAGATACCTCTACATTTTTTTTAACAAATTCTCAAACTCATCTCTTTCACTCTGGTTATAACAGTAATCTTAATATGCTAATCCAATACTCTAAATATACAATTCATAATTACAGTAAAAATGAAACGACGCTATTAATATATTATTCTCTTATCTAGATAATAACTAGCACTATCGTAAAAGATATTTCTTATCCGATCAAGAATGCAGTATTATAGGTAATTTTTATGCGTGTATCTCTACTGAGGTGTAATAACTGCAATAAACCTTTATGTAATTAAAAATAACGCCATCAATACCTGTCTTCCGGCCTATTGGAAATTCTTAAAGATCAGTCCATCCAATGCAAGTTGAATTATTTATAGGTTTTTTGTTAGACGACTAATTATAATTAATAGAAAAGTACTACATAGATAATTAATCAATAAAATGTCATTTTCGAGGAATAAATGCATCCAAAAGCTCACCCCTCGAGTCAAGTTCTGAACAAACAGTGGCTTACAGTAGCATCAATTTGATAATGATGTTTCCTTAGTATCTTTATGCACACCTATAAATATACTTGCATTACAAAATAGTGTCACTTTTGAAAATTTATGGAAGGAACTCTTTAAACCATCTATCACCACCTAGGAATTTAACCGATACTTATACCAATACCACTCTCATAGATATTATGGCTACTATAACAACACAAAATTCAACATGGACAAGCAACGCTAGCAAAGAACCCGGCTTCATAACTTGGGAAAGGCTAAGTCCAAACGATCCGAGATTTATTTTGGCTGTAATTTTTTGTTCATTTATCTGCTTTATAGCAATATTTGGCAACTTGCGTAACTTAATAATGATATATAACTGCCGAAGATTACACGATATGAACAATTTATGTATCTGTAATTTAGCCGTAGTTGATTTTCTAACTGGCCTTATTGTTATACCTTTGGGAATATCTACGTTAGCAGCAGAGACATTAGGATACTTACTTTGCCAAATTCAAGGATTTTTTACGTTACTCTTGTATTTATCTTCGTTAGCAGCAACATCAATAATAAGTGTAGATCGATGTAGTGCAGTTGTTAATCCTTTTGGCTACAAAAGTCATATAACTGTATCTAAATGTGCCTTTATTGCTACTTTTACTTGGTTCATACCGAGTATTATTTCTATATTACCGCTACTTGGCTTTGAGAGAATTGGCCTTGGTAAATTCTATGTCTTACTTCTTTGTGGTATCTCATTCGATCACCCAATAGAAAATTTTATAGTTTCATGGATACTGACGATATTTTTGGTAGTCAACATAGTAACAATCTGTATGAGCTACTTAGTTATTTTTATTGTAGCATATCGGAAAACTGTGCAAGATTTAACTCGAAACAGCAAATTATCTCGATCGATTCGAACCACTGGTTTAATTGTTGGAACTAACTTCCTTTTTTGGCTGCCATACATTGTTCTTAATGTACAGGATTTCGTCTATAATACCTCGGTCCCTCCAGTACCAACGACATTGAACTATTTTACGACCATTGCATGTCTCATGGCACTGAGTAGTCCTGCTATTAATCCAATAATTTATGCAGCAACGAGTAAACACTTGCGAAAGCGATTTACTAGAGTCGGAATACCCTCTCAATCTACGTATGCAAGTAGAGAATAAAGTAATGTACTTTTTACTTTTGCTATTATTAGTAAACCACACATGTAGTTGCATTCTAGAAATACACTTTTAGTCTACCTTCACACAGTTAACCTTCACAGTTTAAGCTGCTTTTGCCTTTCGAGTAATTTATATACTGGTAATTATTTCTCTATTCGTCTACATTCAAATTAACAATCGACTCTAGCTAATACTTTATTATAATAGTATGAAAAGTGGTTAATAACAAGCTTCAAATAAAACACCAGTCACTACAATTTACGTAAGCGAAAATTAATCCATACGCTAGTACTTGGTCTACATTCTTGAATTCGTGATAGATTTGTGCCTTGACAATTACCTTAAACAGAACTAGTGAGCAGTATAAAAATTATAAAGCATTTATTGCGATGTAAATGCGTACATTTTCATTTTGATAAAAATCATTGCCTTTTTATCACGTAAAATATAATTATGATAAAATAGAACTAAGTAAACACAAAATATAGAACACAGATGTTGCAATTC